GGTCATTTTTGGATATGCTGGATCATTAAGTTGAAGATCTTTAGATATATTCACGTATTTGCGAATAACTATCATCCACCTATCAAAATCATCGTTAGTAAGTGCTTTCAAATGATAAGTAGAAGTTCCAGAATCTAAATTAATTGAGAGAAAATTTGCACTAGAAGATACTGCCGAAAGTGCGATATGTATCGTTCCACGACAAGGTCCGTGAGGATGTACAAAATGTGATAAAACGCCATTGTCTATCTGTACCCAACGTTTTGCCCAACCTGTTGAGAATTAAAGAATGAAATTATAATTAATATTAATTTCTTTTTTTTTTTATAGATCTGGAATGCGTAATTCACCTTGCATCTTTTTCCTCTTTTTTTTCAACATCCATCCGCCAATTTCCGGCTGAGATTCTTTTTGCTGGTCCTCTACCCCTGTTTATAATTATAAAATCATTACTTAACCAATTCATCTAATATAATCACAAATGTTTAAAGTCTTTTTTTTTTTTTTTTTTTTTATGATTTGATTTATACTTGCCGTCTTTTAATGCTACAAAAAAAGTTAGCGATTTCGAAGTATTACGTGAAAATGAATTATCTGATTAAATAAATAAATGAAAAATGGTTAAATGTAGAAATTTGAATAATAATACAGTGAATAATAATATAAAAGCATAAAATATGTTTTACCGAAACACAAACAATAAGTTCCTTCTTCCTGCACTATATAACTACCTTTAATGGTAGTAGATGCTGAATTATAATGTTCAATTGGTAAGATTTCTTTTAAATCAGGATCTTTAATAATTTGAGCAGACACTGACTTTTTGCGTCCGCGATTAGAAACGGGACTAGTAGGTTGAAGCGAGGAAACAGGGTCATGCAGTGTAGTGTCTAATTCTGCATTGTATCCTCCCGGTATTTCTTCATTATCGTCGGCATCATTTGTGTCAATAGAGGTTCTACTTCTTACGCTGTGTACACTTGTTCTACTGGCTACAGATTTAGCTGTTGATGGGGTGGGAGGTAAATTTTGCCTTGAAGAAGCGGATCCGCCTTCCAAAGGATTGCGAACTTCTGCATTTGAGGTTGTAGTTGCAGCGACAAAAACATTTCTCGCCGAAACAGCTGGCCCTTTCCTTTGATATAAGCCAAACGAAATGTTTTTCTTCTTTGTGGAAAACCACCATAATATTGTTTGTCCTTTTGGAACGTTAACATAGTGAATGAAAACATCTCTAGGAGCAACTTCAACTTCTTGCATATTTAAAATGAAAGTACTTAAATGAAAGTCTTATTATTTAGTGTGTAAAGAACGAAAGGGAGCTATTTAAATCGGAGTTATGATGCAAACTGAATTTTTTTCCCCGAGAGAAATAGTCACGTGATCGACAATTGTTTACTGATCGACATTAACACGTGGGAGAAAACGTGTTTTTATGATCCCAAAGCTCGTTACTCGAGTTGGAAATTCGAGTCAGAAACTCGATTTAAAGTCATAATGCGGGCCAAAATTTTGTGATATTTTTGGGGCCGAACTAAAGGAAATTTTTTTAAAAAATTTTTATTCAATGATTATATAATAAATGTTAATTATATTATGCTAATAAATGCAGTTTAAGAAAAGAATGCATAAATTTGAAGTAGTTTTAATTCGAGTCAACTCGAATTCTGACTCGAATCAAGAAAATCTTGACTCGAATCAGAATTTAACTCGAGTTGACTCGAGTTAAACGAATAAGAGTCCAGTCTCTACGCCCATATGTAAGGGCTAAAAAGCCAGTAAAAGATTATTAAAAATGATCGTAATCGACATTCAATTAATTAGATAGATAATTAATTAACAAAAAAAAAAAAACACGAAAAGATACGCCCATTAAATCTATCTTTTTACAAAACCGATTTTGATTGGCTCATCCGAACCAAATGGCAATTTTGTGCATAATTTGCATAATTTGCAATTTAAATTCTCGCAATTTTTTTAATCCGTTCCGCAGATTTAAATTTTATAAAGGCATTTTTATTTTTCCTACGATTTTAGTTTTTTTTTTTTTATTTTAAATGCATATTTTTCTTTGATGTTGTTTACCACCAACATCCTCGTTGAGCGGTTGAAAAATACAAAAAATAATCAAAAGATTGAAGAAAACACCAAGAAAGATAGGGAAATATTCTTCCCATTAAACTTGAAGCGAAAAATAATTTGTTAAAAAGACAAGTAGTGCAACACAGCTGATGTGAACAGGTTTCTCATGCAGGACGATTCTACATTAGTTTCTTCTACTGAGGGTCATTGTCCGTAGGTTTACTGTATTATTACTACTCGTCAAATTTTTTATATATTTAGTATACAAATAACAAAACGTGATACTAACTATGATCAATCGATTTTTTATAGCAATCACTTTCACATAATAACCTGTGATGATATTGAATTTCACCATGTAATTTACTCAATTTCAATCGTTCTTGGAGTTATATTGGCCATTACCGCGGGCGGACTGTGGTTAAAAAGACGAATTTATATCGAATCATCACAGAGAGTCGCGTTTCTCGACGGGTATTTATTATGGCAAACATTGCATGCATCAAGTGAGTTATCTATGTTAATAGTTTGATTATATGATGGCCAACATTTTGTATTATTATTAATAATACTATTTAATTCCCCTTTAAGTTCGAATCATCAGTGACATAACAATACTTAGCAATCTCATCGGGGAGGAATTTATGGTTTTAGAGCTCGTCTATGACATACCATTTTACTGCGATCAAGTTTCGGTGATATTATTTATTCTCGGAATGTAATTATTATTTTACCGACTTTTCTTTTATATTTCAACTTTAAAAGAAATTATAAATATAATTAATTATTTATATACTTTTTTTTCGTGGGAATAAAGTTTACTCGCCATTCCTTACGAACGAACAACTCCTAACTCTCAAGGGTCATTGCGGAATATCATACCATCTCATAAAAGCATAATATGGTTCTTTCGTATATTCTCTTTCATAATTTTTCCATCACTTGCCATCCTTGCTTTGCTCACAGGATATTTTCATTCAATGCGGAATGCAAAACCTGACGAGAGTGTACGTTTTAAAGATCTCGAAACACTTATGATTCGTGCACATTACATAGTCTATGCTATCAGTTGCGTTTTGTTAGCGATTTGTTTTGCATACTTTGGTAGAAAAGTGAAAGGTTTCGCAGAAGGTAGCATTGGATTATTAATGAGTAGTGAGTTGGATTCAAGATATCATCGCCTTAGATTAATGAGAAGGTCCATCACAAGGGTATTTATTTTTGATTTACATGGTTTAATCTTTATTTAAAGTCATGCTAATTAATATTTGATTCGGTGTGGATGATCAGATGAATATTGTAAATGGTTTTTTATGCGCAAAGTATTTGCTATTTGCTATCGCCGCAACGACCGCTGCATTTCAACTTGTGGTAATATTTTTCAATACATGGATTGTTCAAATTGGTACTATTTTGGTCACGACATTCCCTCTTGTTTCAATGATTTTATGTACATTGTTAATTCTATATGGGTAACTTTTATTTATTTATTTTTTTTTTTTTTGATTTGATTATGAAATGAAATTTTCGTTTTTTTTTTTTTAAGCAATATTTTTTTTTTTTTATATTAATACTCATTTTAATGTAGAGATACAAATCCCGAAAAGGCGTTTGATACGGATTTTTTACAGATGTCGCATTCGCATAATTTTTTAACATGGAGTTATACAGTAGAATCGTCTAATCAACAGTCTGAATTGAACCTTTTACCACCTCCACCCTCATACAAAGATGATGTTACAAATCAACACTATGTTAAAGAAATTGAACGAAAACAACCACTCAACATAAACTGTTGTACTGATGCTTCAAATTCCAAAAACATTCGTACATCATACATTCGAAATTCATCTACAACATTACCAAACATCATAATATCCTCACCGCCAGAAATATCAATTGCAGAAAAAAGACCTAGTCGTGTTGTTGGAAAATCCAAGTTTATAGCTGCTTGGATATTGGATCAGCACGAAAGAACTTCCACAAATGAAATGTCATCATCAACAGAAGACAACAACAAAGGATGTATTCGATATTAAATCCTTGTTATTTATTTAACTTTAAATGATACAGTTCTTACTTATATAAACGCATCATAAAAGACTTTCTCTAATATCATAATTATGATACCTACCAAACTTTCATTTGTATTTTTAATCATATGTAAATTTAATACTTAATATAACTTGTTTATTTTTTTAAGCGTGGTTTGGGAATTGAAGGTAGTTGTACATTCTATTATCCAATATATAACTCGCACAGCTTAAAGCTGTACTAATGTAGAGTATACCTTTATAATAAAAAATCAAAAAAAATCAAAATGGCAATACATTTTTCATCGACGAACGGGACGCGTCAACATGTTGTATAAAGAGGTTTTTTTTTTTTTTTTTTTTTTTTTTTCAATTTCTAAATTTTATTACAAATTACATGTAATTAATAATTAATAAATGATTAGGTGTTTTATTGGGCAATATATAAGAGTTTTATAATGATGCAAAAAAAAAAAAAAATGTTTAAGTGGGTGATAAAGATGAACATATTTTCACAAGAATTAGTGAGGGCAAGTTTGCTGTATTTTAATTATTAAACACGAAAAAATAAAAGCTTTGACAAATTTGTTATACATGAAGCTGTTGTTAAATTTTGGAATATGAATTAACTTAACGTATTTTAAACTATAAACATTGTTGCAAGGTAACAAAAAAAGACCTCTCGAAAAGAATGTTAAGTTTTTCATTGAAAATATTTCTCTTGAGTGTAATATTAAGCATTAATATTTAGTAATGATATATTATTATGTTATATTTCTATATATTTCTACCGCAATAAAAAGTAAATTAATCAATCTTCCGTAATAAATAAATATATAATACAAAAAAGTTAATCGATTAACATAAATGTCTGGTTGATGAACGTTAAAAGACTGGCGAATTCATGATAAATAAATTTTCCTCCTCTTTTTTGATCCATTTCAATAATACGAGGGAAGAATTTGTCAATGCTGTTTTGGATATTAATGGACCAAACGCAGCGTATAATTCAAATGTTGCTGTTATCTTTGATTAATAAAAAAGATAATTATGTTATAAGGTAAGATGACTAGTTATAAAAGAAAAGAAATAATAAAAAAATAATAAAAAAACATACCCATCCTAATATAGTTTCTGACGGACTCACGTAATAATGTACTTTAAGTGGCCGAACACGTGAGTGCATACGATCATGTGTATATCTATATAATTTAAACAATCTAAAATAATAATAAAAAAAAATTATTTCGGAAATCTCTCTTTAAATAAATGTAATTGCATAAATTTCATACCTTCGTTTTTCACGAGGATTATTATATGATGCCAAAAATGCAGGTGACGTGTATTGTAAACACGTCTTTGATTTGTATATAAAATGTCGTAAACCTGCCACGCCAATATCGGCTATTCATAGCAATAAGCAAGGTATATTAAAAATCAATAAATATACGATTTGCCAATAATTAATTAATTTGAATCGGGATTATTTGAATCAAAAAAAAAAAAAAAAAACACACCTATAGAATAACCCTCACTTTGTGAGGCTGCTTCTATCCCTTGTAAAGCATCGCAAGCGGTGAGTTGCTAAAAACAAAACAAATCAATACATATAAATGATCAACTATATGGAATCCTTAAAGAATGCGAGAGTGAATTTACCTCAACTATTGTATTTTTGGCATCAGATAATTCAAAAAATTTATCCTTGTCTGGAGATATCAAAAGAAGACATACGTTTGCGGTAATATAGCACACGTAGGCGTGGAGGAATCCTTTATTGTTAAACTTTGGCAGACATATTGGAGTCCATGATTCAACCGAACGAAAAGTTGAAGAACCATTTACCATGTTAAAAACCAAGTGAAGATCTTTACAAGAAAGATTGAATTGTCAATAAAACATATTAGACGATAAAAGCATTTAGGAATATCGATCATACCTGCTGAATGAAGACTGTGTTTTTTAAGTCTCAGCAAGGTTATTAGTTTATAATTTGTTATTAACATGGCATATAAAAGGTCCTATAACAGATAGGGAGTTAAATAATTAACAATATTATTAATAAAAATTAATAAAAATTTTAATATTATAAATACCTTCGACTTTACTATTTGCAAAATATTTCCAACTTTATCTCGTAGTTCTTTGCTCATTCTAACGCATTGAATCGAACCTAACATGAACCCCGGTTCATCGCTCATGGAATTTGCAAGCTTATCCAAGAAAGGCTCAGTACCTATAAAAAGTAAAGGCAAATTTATTTAAAAAAAAATTAAAACATTGTAACCATAAAAGAAACAATAAATCAAACATAATTGATGATTAACCTCCAAGCAGAATACGCAAATCAAAATTCATCCTTTGCTCATAAATTTTTGTTAATTGAGTGGACGTCAAAACACTCAAAATTTGATTATATAGATAATTTAACTGTTCTCTAAGCTGTAAAAAATGTAAAAAAAAAAAAAAAAATTGTGTAAAAAATTAAATCTCTGATATGTACAATGAACTATTGGTACATACTTGAGACTCTGATTCATTTGTCCGGGAAACGGCTACAAGATACAATGGCCCCTTTAGTAAAAATACAAATTTATGATTTCCCGCATTGATACATCTATCAATATTATAATAAATATAGTTAGGAATTAAGAGTTGATATATTTATTCCACATAAAAAAAAAATTTATTGATTCCTATATAACCTTAGAGAATCTTCGGCATCAACAAAAAATGAAATAATGGCTTGAATCACACCCATATAACTTGAAATACGTGATTCATCTCCATACCTATAAATTCAGAAAAATATAAATTATTAAATAATTCGAGATAATATTCGAGTAAGTTTATTATTTACCGCGTATAGATCGGCTTGCCAGAACTACTAAGTATAAAGAAGTGTTTTCGATGTCGAGACCAAGTAACAGATTGTGGATCTAAAATTTAATTGGTAATATTTTAGCTTGAATGTTTGTAAAAAAAAAAATTTTGCTTTTGAATATTTATCCTTTTTTTATTTATTTATTTTTCTAAAAAAAAAAAAAAGGGACAAAAAAATACAATACAATAAATTAAGATAAAAACACCTTCAACCTTCATGTCCATACTTGCGACGATATCCCGAATATTCTTCGTCTATTGGAATAGCTGGCATATCAAGATTATTCGAATGACCGTTACTCATTTTACATTCTATAGAGCTATCTGAATCTTTGAATCAAAAAAAAAAATCTTAAAAATGTCGGCAAAAAATGGGTAATGATAATAAAAAAAAAATTTCAAAAAAGGATACATACCTATACTTTCATTTCTCGCATCAAAATCCAAACTCATATCACTTTCCGGTTCACTAGAAAAATTCCGCTTTTTATTATCAATGAAACCCTTACAAAACGTTAAATACTCATTATCAGTTGAAGAAGCCGAGTTGGATCTATTCATGATTTTGGTAAGATAGTCGTCTACATAACTTTCCTTTGAACGGTTCTCTCCGTTAATACTACTATCTAGTAAATTTGAAATTGCATTGAAACTTTTTACCGACGACCCAGCAGAAGAAGAACTGTATGCTTTTGTAGAAGGAACACTTAATGAGAGTTGTGTAGTGGGTTTTGCCTTATATACGCTATATTTACGTTGAGGTTGTAATGTAGGTGAAAGTGGTTCATCTGAAGTGATAACACTATTAGAATCGGAAAGAACATCTTCCATGATGGGTGACATTGGTGACAAAAGTGGACTTCTTGGTAATGAAAACGACATGGTGAAAATTTAACGAAAAACATACAGTAGACGAGAGATTATATATAGCTCATACAAATCGGATCATCGGATTTAATGCCAAATCCAGATATCTAGTGAAACGTCGTGACACGATCTTTAAAAAATACTTTTGGGAACAGGGTTTGGTAATTCCATTTTCTGTATCATAACTATGCACAATTAATTTAGGTCGAATCATATGATTGAAGTCATTGATTTTAAGTATTTTAATTAGTATTGCAAAGATCAAAAGATCACCAATAAAATTTCTTGAATTTTATATATCTAACCTAAACACGATTTAAATTTCACATGAGTTCACATGATTTTTTTTTTGTGATGTTAACGACGACGAGATTTTATCAATTATATTGAGCTAAATATATTTCTCTTATATTCGACACAATTTGCATACAAAGGATAAAAAAGAAAGATAGCATTATAGATAATATAAAGTTATGTTCTATGAAAAAATTATACGATTGTATTTCTATATATGTTATTATTTTAATCTCCATGATATATTTGTAATCTCCGTTCTTCATATGAATTAGATAGTCATGCGACACCATGAAGCTGTGGCTAAGATATGGAGAAATCAAATTTACTTTTACATGCAAAATATGTTTTTCTGATTAGATTTAGCATTAACTCATTTTCATTTTCCTGGCAACTTTGTATGCTGTTCATATCCAAAGGTTGCCTTGTCGGTAGATAAAGAGATAATTAAGGTCAGTAGTGGGTACGTTGGATCCCACTTGCCAAGTTTCGGGTTGGTTGGCTAATGAAAAAAAAGTTAATATAATGAATGCTGTGCTGTATGATGTACTTTTTTTTTCTTCGACACAAAAATTTTGAATGAGAAAATTAAATTTTCGATTACATAAATTTATACAAACTGACCTAAATATCACAAAAAACTAGTTTACAAAACAAAATTCGAAAAAAGCAATCTCTTTGGAGATTATCGGAATACATTTTCCCGATTTATCATTTGATTTAAAGTTTTATTTGATCATCTCTGATATCTAATACAAATATTTCAATTCTTAGCGTTTATGTACTCTAATCTACCATGAAGACAAATACAGGAGATAATCAATGCCTTTAGAAAATTAATCGATTGTCTCTTGTGAGTCAGAGAATTTTTACTCATAGCGCTAACAGAAATTTTTAATTCGATATTTCTCACGTATCGATCGATACAATTCATTCATCTTCATTAAACTTTATAATAAACGAATTGTCACTAAAAATGAAGAAAGGAGTAAGGTTGACTTGGAAAAATGTGAGTACAGATTCGTGATGCAAATATTAAATTATAATTTCTTTTTTTTGTTCTTCTGACAAAATATCATATGATTGGTTAAAAAACGTGGCACAGTAAAATAAAATGGATAGTTTACGAAAATTATTAAAGAAATCAATTTATTTGGTAAAATCTTCATTTTCAAGAATTTTATTTTTACATCATATGGATTAGCCTGCGTAATCCATAATTATTTCTCATAAAATTATTTTGATTTCTTAAAAAATAATTTTCATTCATTAGAGATTCATTCATTCGAATTATCTCTTCTAGATTTTGCTTTAAGCTTCTTATTCTTTCATTTCCCAGCTAAAATGGGGTATAACGTTAAGGATTACGAATATTAAAGGACGAAATTATAAAAATTTATATTATCATATGCAATATATAAATTGTAAGGCACGGTCAGTATAACATCTCACATAATATCATGTCAAAAGATAGCAATAAAAACAAAACGCTCACTATTTGAAATTCTTTTCTATTATCTTTTCTTTGCTTATTACGTGAAATTTTTTGATTTTGGATTATCATTTTGGTGTAATCGATATAGTCTTGTGACAGTCCTAGTATAAAAAAAAAAAAAAAAATTTTAGTATTTTACTAAGTAAAAGAAGGAGGAGGAACACGACCACCCGAATTCAAATCTCTATAAAAGTTTTGCTAGGAATCTAGTAGGACTGCAACCTATTGCCAAGAAGCTTATATAAAACTTCACAGAATGACGCGCCTAAAGTGCAAGCTCGCTCGTACCTCATCAATTTGAGTCTTCTTTCCTTTCAGACTATCATTTTAAATAAATTCCTATTATAAAAAAAAAATTAAAATATTTTAGTATTTTTACTAAGTAAAAGAAAGAGGAGGAACATGATCAAATTATTTTTTTTAT